ACGATCTGTCTTAAAATCCTTCTTTAATATTTCAAAGCAAAGTAGAAATTATCTACATTCTTATTTCAAAGTAGACGCTGTGTCAGACATTCTTTTTCGCAACAAGTTAAATCTATTTATCAGGCTTTTAAACAACCCCATATGTTACTCGATTATACGGACTAAGATGCCTTTAATGAATCAACGATCATTTGTGGGTGAGGTAATGATAATGTGTAAGAAAGCTGATATAAACATGCTCCAATTTATGATCGAGGGTAAGAAAATTATAATTGCACGCCCTCAGGAAGCATTGGAGGCCAATGTTGCGGCGATCTTAAAACAATCGTTCCAACACTGGAATTTAAAGGAACAAAGAGAAGTATTTAGAACGCTGATGGAGGAAAACATTCCAAGAACGATGCAAGAAAATACTTAAATGTGCTTTGTTTTTTTTTTTAATACTTTTACCTATAGTTTATGTAATTATTGGGTGTTTAAAAGAATAAATATATAAAACTAATCATTTAACGCCAAGTTAAGGCAAAATGTATTCCATTAATTAAGTAATCAGTTCGTGTTTATTTCCTCCAATTTAATTCTAAAATGGCGGATGAAAATAGTGTATATCTTAGAGTAATAAACAAAAATATAGGTATTTTCTTATATATTCTAGAGTCAATCGGCTTTTTTTAGTTATTATTCATAATTCTACATATTATTTAAGTAAGAAATGTATCATCATCTAATTAAAAGCTCACGGATTCTGTTGTATATGTGACATACAGTGTATATATATCATATAATATATAAGGTTAGATATATACACTATTGTATATGTCAAACTTCCAACAGAATCGGTTATATAATCCGTGATACACATATACTATATGTGTATATATTTTTTATTCCTGTATGTATATATTGTATGTATATGTGACATATACAACAGTATATTAAATATCCTCACGTATTTCGTACGATGTGTCTATTTAGTATATACAACACGTTTTATATACTAAATTAATAATGACTCAAATAAATCGTTTCATATATGGAAAAAATGTGTCTCTTCTTAAAATAATATATCTTCAAACATAAAATTATTTTGCATTGCATAATCTTTTTTATGTTTAATTTTTTTTTTCAGAATACTTACAACAAGCTAATATCATGGTTACACCCCATGTTTCAGCGCATCCTTTAATTGCTGATCAACTGCAATTACCTCCACACGGTGGAAAAACAAGAAAACGTAAAGCAAACTGTTATAACTGGAAACAGTCAAAAAGAAACCGACTTAGACAATCAGGAAAGGAATATATAATATTAGAGTCAAAGTTATTCAACAAAGAAGTATTAAAAATAAAAAAGGATTGAAAAAATTTTAGCAAGCTTAAGGGGGCACAACCCCATAAATAAAAAAATCTTTAATTTTGATATTTAAATAATTTTTTTTATTTATTAAGTAAATTCATAATAAAACTAAGATTAAAAAAAAAAAAAAAAATTAAAAAAAAAGAAGGGGTTGCCCTGTGGGGCAATTTTTAGGGGGCAAAAACTTAAAAATTGACCATTTTGTGGCAAAAATATTTCAAAATGCAGAAGGTCACATAGAATAAAATTTGGCATTTAACTAGCTTGATGTTAGAGGTATGCAATGAACCTCAAAAACTTAACAACTTACTTATTCCTTGGGGTCGTGCTTTATTTGTTTAAAGGATACAAAAAAAATGATATTTTTATCCCCCATAATGACCGAAAAATCGTTATATTTTATTTTTAACACATATATTCTTATAATTTTGAGGTTTATTGCACAACCTTGTACATAATAAACAATCTGTCAAAATATGAGAAGTTTTAATCAAACCGTTTTTGAAATATCTTTGCCACAGTCAGGCAAAGTTAAGAAAATGTGGAAATCTTAGAAAAAAAGGTTTAAAAAAAAAAATTATGTTAACTCTATTGATAATAATTATATTTATCTGGAGCCTTTTTATCTATTAAGTATTGCACTGTAGACTATATTCAAACAATAGATGTACTTTATTTATCAAAAGTCAGATTTAATAACCCTTTTCTACTTGCGAATGAATAAAAAGCTAAAATGGTAAAAATTTTTTACTTTTTCCTGTTAAATGCCATGTTCATATAAACAGGTATGATAAAACTAATTTGATATAAACATTTAAAACTTCCTGCTCCATATGACAAACCCTCATTATTTTTATTTTCACTTCTCTTACTCTTTTTAGCTCCACGCAGAAACTTGCGACGCATCCTATACTTCTCACCATTTTTTCGACTTGCATTTTTTAATCGTGAACGATTTCTTTCTTTGCAACTAAGCTCAGTGTAGCTGCCTCACTCCATCTGCATTTTATCATATATTTTTAATGTTGCTAAATTTCCAATATTAAAATGAGCAACTGCATCATAAGCAGCAATTTCCAACTGTACTAGTTTTACAAATGCATCTTTTGGAACACGATTCCATATTGTTGCATTGAAAGACTCGAAAGCAATTCCTAATTTCTGCTTTTGATTAAGCTTTACTGAATTATGTGAACACTCTGGGCACAAAAGAATCTTAAAAGTTTCAGCTAACAATTCCATATCAACTATTCGGTTGCCTGTAATGTTTTTTGAACAGCAGTTATCAACAACTTTAACCATTGAACCATTTAACTTTGTATAAGAAACTGTTGTTGCTATGTTTTCTTTATTTGTAACTTTAGAGTTTTCAGTAAAATTGTTAGAGAGTTTGTTGCCATAAAACTTCCTACTTTTATGTCTTTTAGATCGAAACTTACAAGATGATTCCATTTCAATTTGTAAATATTTTTCAACTTTTTAGTTATACTAGTTACATAAATATACAAAGCAATAGATAGAAAGCTTATAAATAGCATAGATAGATAAAAATACTTAGCAAAACAGCATAGAAATTATCTTATAAAGCATACTACCTTGTTATAATACTGAAAAATAAAAAAATAAATAAAAACCAATTTTGTAAAACATAAACAAACATTCTAACAAGACCAGTCTGTCAAATCAGTAGTTTAATTAGTTAAATAACTCCATTATGCTTATTACGTCGTTGTACAAACAAAAAGCCATTTGTACAAACAAAAAGCCAAGATCAACTTTGAAAAAAGGGCTTAAAAAGATGAAAAACAACATTTAAAAACGGTTGCTATGCGCGTTGCTAGGGTAATTTAAATAATGAACATCTAAATAAATGAAATTTTGACCAATATCAGCATGAATAGAAAAAATTTAAAAATCAGCAATAGTTTCTACGATAAATTTGAGTTAAAATAAGTGTATTTTTGAAAAATTAATTTTTCAGTAATTTACACTTTTTTAATAGGGTTGTGCCCCCTTAAGTGTTTTGAGAAGTTTTCAGAAGACGGGAGAAAAATATTATTTAATGGACTGTGGGGAATATCTCAGATTGAAAAGCAACACTTTTTTAGTAAAACTACTGAACGATTAGATAAAAAAAGATCTCGAACCAATAAAGTAAGCAATTCAAGGAGAAAATAGACTTATTTTTACAATTTCTTTGTTAATAATATCAAGCATTGTGTATGTAAGGAGTTTTATTTGTCTACATTAGACATCAGCAGCAGGCAAATATTATACTATCATGAAAATAAACTTGAAACTGGTGTTCCTGCCCCAACAAAATAGGGGAAACTTTGTAAAAAAAAAGTTCTTGAAATGACTAAACAGAGTATAGAAAACCATATCAACTTGTTTCCACGAGTTGAGTCACATTATTGTCGAAGCATTTCCTGCAAACAATATTTTGATGGGTCATTAAATTTGGAGAAACTTTATAATTTGTATTTAACATATTGTACTCAATATGAAATTTCACCAGCAAAGGCATGTATGTACCGCAATGTTTTTAATACAAAAGTTAATATTGAATTTCAAAAGCCGAAAAAGGATCTGTGTGATACATGCTACAAATTTCAAATTATTGAAGATGCAAATGAAGAGGAAATTCAAAAATATAACAAGCATATTGCATCAAAGAATGAAACAAAAATCGAGAGAGATATGGATAGAAAGTTGAACTCCTCTTTCACAACCATAGTTTGTATTGATCTACAAAATGTCTTGAGCTTGCCGAAAAGTAATGTGGGAAACATATTTTATAAAAGAAAGCTCAGCTGTTATAACTTAACAGGTCACTCTTCACTGAACAAAAAAGCATATTGTATATTATGGCTTCACCCTAAAAACAGTCCGTTAAAAAAAGTAACGGATTGCGCTTTTTCGTTAAATTAACGGATTAATTCGTTACCAAAAACCAGAAAATTAACGGAGTAAAATTAACTATTTACGGATTCTTTGAAACTTCGTTAATTCAAGGGATTAAATATTCTAATTGGTCAAAAAAAAATTATTAGTATATTATAGCTTTTTATTTTGAAAATGATAAAGTTTTGAATGCGTTTTTCTCACATTTACATTTACATCGTAGATAAAAGTTGGTTGCAGAAAGTGTAATATGCCATTTTTTAAAAACCTTTACATTTAGTTGACAACCAAATGTATAAATATAATTTAAATTACGCTCTGTTATTTGTAATTTCGAAGGTTATTTAGATTATTTTAAATTTTCTATATAAAGTTTTATATAGAAAATTTAACAATAAGGTTTATTTTGTTTTAAATTAAAAGCCATTAGTATTACTAAATAATATATAATAACATATATGGTAAGTTAATACATATGATATATGGTAAGTTACTACATGTCTAAATATAGAAAATTATGCAAGAATATATGCAATCCATATAGTCTATATTATAAAAATAAAAGTTCAACTAATCCTTTACTAGTAGTAAAGGGTTAGTTGAACAATTATTTCTATAATATAGACTAAATGGATGATTTATGGTCTTTTTTAACTTTATATTTTAGACATGTAGTAACATACCATATTAGTTTAAATCAGTTGTAAAATTAAAAATGTTAACATCTTTGATAGTTATATTTATTTAGGTAAGTTAATGCTAAGTTTACATGGCTAGTTAATATGCTTTTATAAATTGCAATTTTTATTAATTTCTAAACTAAACATGTAGCATCCAATATCATAAACTAAGTTTATACTGGTGTGTTTATATTATTTTAGAATTTTTTGTTTTAGACACATGGCATTTGCTATCTCATTGTAATAAAACTGGTTGTAAAATTAAAAAATTTATATCGGAACTTCTATTTCTTTTAACATTCATGCTTATTTAATCGAGTTACAACTAAGGTTATATATGAGTTATTTATACTATCTTAGAATATGCTGCTTTAGAGGCACGGCATTTAGTGTCATATTGTAGGTTTAAATTGGTTGTAGAATTTATATTGTAACTTGCATATTTATTTAGTTGAGTTTAATCTAAGTTTATATTTGATGTGTTTGTATTATTTTAGAATTTAATGTTTTCAACATGTGACATGTGGTATCCCACTGTAAGTTTGAATTAGTAAATTTAAAAAAAATTATATTTTAACTTGCATTTCTTTTGACGTTCATGTTTATATAATTAGATTACAACTAAGTTTGTGTATGGCTTGTTTATATTATTTCAGAATTTGCTATTTTAGACACTTGGTATAAGCTGTCATACGGTAAGTTTAAATTGGTTGTAAAATTTATATTTTAACTTGCATTTTTATTGGCGTGCTTATTTATTTAGTTGAGTTTCAACTATTAATAATAATAATAATAAGTTTATATCTAGCGTGTTTATATTATTTTAGAATTTGCTGTTTTAGACACGTGGCTTGTGATATCCCACTGTACGTTTGAATTAGTAAATTTAAAAAAATTGTATTTTAACTTGCATTTCTTTTTGCATGCATATTTATTTAGTTTAGTTAAGACTAAGTTTATATCAAACTTTTTTAACTATTATTCTACTATATTCTGTATTCACTATTATTTTAGAATTAGCTATTTTAAACATGTGACAAGTGGTATGACACTGTAAGTTTAAATAAGTTGTAAAATTAATTTTTTTATATAGTTGCTTGCATTTTTTTGGTCTGCATATTTAATCTTGTTTTGATTTATCATAGTTTTTAAAAGGTTAGAGACCTTATTTTTTGCTCCTAATAGGTATTGATGTATGTGAAATGTATAGAGTCTTTCAGTTATCAGATAATGTCAAGGCAATCTTATACTTTTTTTTTAATTTACATTTTAATAAAGATATAATTTACTTGTTCCATTTAACTTTATCTTTAGAAAACGATATCAGAGATAATTAAAATAACAAAATTTAGAATAGAAATTTATATATAATGATTTACGAAAAACATTTTCTATAGTGTTATCAGTAACATTTTATTTTGGTTTTATACTAGGTATGTTATTAAGTTTCCATATTTTCCTTATTTTATTTTATATTAATCTTTAAGGAGTTGACAGCATGGTGCCCGATTTAAAGTGCGAACCTGTGTACGAGTAACAACAGTATTCAAAACCAAAACCTATTTAAACCAACCAAATCAAAACTAGCGACCAAAAACTAATATCTTGACATTGATTTATTTTACACATCTATTATATATATGTGTGTGTTTTATATAAATGTACTAGCTTGAGTATAGTGTATTGAAAATTTTTTTTTAACTATTTTTATTGTAATTTAAAATATATAGGATTAAATATTATAAATATTTGATTATTTTTCAATTTTTGGTTAAAACGTTTTAATGTAGAATATCGAAATAAAATAATGCAAATAAATAAAAATGCAAATATTAACAAGTATAAGGATTATTTGGTTATGAAGTCACAATTCTGGCCTCTCTAATTTTAGATTTTAGTGATTTTAACGAAATAATCACTAAAATAACTTATTAACACATTTATTTCATAGGAATAACAACCGCGGAAAATTTGCCGCCTAAAGTAATAACTCCTTAATTTTAACGGATTATTCGTTGCACTAACGAAATAAATTTTTCTTAGAGTGTTGAAGGTATGTCAGGTCGTTCTGGTAATGACATTGCCAGTGCTGTGATATGTATGCTAAATAAAGTTTACAAGGATCTTCCTAATGTTAACAAATTTATACTTTGGTTAGATTCTTGCGTTCCAAAGAATAGAAACAGTCATATGTCAGCTGCATTGCGTGAGTTTCTTATTGATCATCCAAATATTGAAATCATTCAGCAAAACTATTGTGAGCCAGGGCACAGCTCTATTCAGGAATGTGAAAATATACAAAGTCAGATTGAGAAATCATTACATTCAGCAGAAATATTTAGTTCTCTTGGGTTGGTGAAAGCAATGTTGAATGTTAACCAACGTAAACAATTTTTTGAATTTTTTGTACTTCTACTGGATTGCAGAGTAAAAATTCAACTTAATTTATCTCAGTTTAAAAAAATGGAGAATTAGAACAAAATAATTCTAACCTGACGATGATAGCAAAAAAATATTTTTAATGACAAATTAAAAGTTATCCAAACATAAGGCTTGGTGAATAAAAAAAAAGCAATTGCTTTTACTCAGTAATGGGTCAGCTTTACGTGAATAAAACGCTGTAAACTTTTCACGTAAAGGTCATTTTTGGAGTAAATTGGAGTAAATTTGGAGTAAATTGCTTACCTTTAGGTAAATAAAAATTTGAGCAAGTTTGCTAAAATTTTTATTCACGTAAAATTTTTTATTTACGTAAACAATTACTCCAAAAGCGCTAAGTAAAAGCAGTTGCTTTTTTTATTTACCTGGCCTATAGGGCCAAAATATTCAAGCAAGCAAGTTTTCAATTAATTTATCACATTTGTTACAACTGTCACAAAGATTATTCCAAAAACTCTCTTAAAGATATTTTATACACAACTTTTTTCATATTTTAATTTTTAAAAATCTATATAATATTATTAACAATAATAGCGCACACTAGTGCGTGTTTATCACGGAACTCTTGGCAGCCATTAAAGCCGAGTTAATGTCGAGTTAATTATTGTAAAAACTCTCTTTAAGATATTTTTATGTACAGATCTCTTCATTCTTTAATTTTAAAAAAACGGTTTTAAATTTATTATGAAAAAATCACGACAATCCTCTTTTATTTTTTCTTCCAAATCTTCTTTTATTTTTGTATCCAAGTGATCAGAGCAAAAAATCCAAAAAATAGTTATTACAACTTTATCAAAAACACCAGTTTTCTTTTTTTTTTTATGGTACGAGAGTGATTGAAGCAACTTTACTTTGACGCTTGGTATCCTTTGTATCGAAAGTTTTGTTTACATTTTAAAGCGATGACGTAACTTTAAATGCGTTACGACCCGAGCTAAAATCTAAAATGAATTTTAACAAAAAAACTGTTTCAGCGAGTCAAAATTTTGAAGTATAAAATAAACAAAGTTACGAGTTTTTTTCCTTGACTCGGGGAGAGTTTGACTAGTTATCAGATAAGTTGTTTAATCCTTTTATGTCTATTGGATCTATTTGTCAAAAACTTTTTTTTTATTTGAGTTGTTTTCATATTAGGTAGAACAATGTTTATGATAATTTATAGAAATGTTTTCTACTGAGAGGGAAATTTAGAAACTATATATTGACCGGGAAGATAATTAGGAAGATGGATGTAACTTTCCTTTTGTTAAGCAAGTAAATACCCCGATAAAATCACCAACAAGGTGATTTCTATTTTACTCACGGTTATTTGATCTAAAGTGTTGTTTAGTTTTTTTAGTTTTATTTTGCCAAATGAGTTTAATTTGCCAAGTATTGATGAGTTTAATAGTGTGCCAAGCATTGTTACGAAGAATAAAAGATTTATAAGAAAGTTTTCAAAAAAAGAAATTGGCAGATGCAGATAAATTTTCATTTTAAATAGGAATCAGAAGCTTAGCATTCAAATCAATCAATTAACGTCTAGAGTAAAAACTAATGTAGAGCAAATAGATAAGTTAAATAATAAAGTTGAAAACTGAAATTATGGATTTAAATTCTAAAAACGAGGTGCAATACACACGTTGTAACTCATTAAGCTCTCAACCAGAGGCAATGAGTATTCGACTAAAGCAGGAGGAGTGTTTTTAACTTAATAAAAAAAAAATTATAAACAGCTCAACGTAAATTTGCATCTGCTTGTGGTAAAAATGTAAGAAACTCGGTGTAGTTAAGGCAGTTTTAAAAAAGTATAGCGTCTGTATGATATTTTGTTGACTGCAACATATTTCCGTTAAATATTTGTCTGTAAATTATGAAAAAGAAGATGAAAAAAATTAAAATGATAAGTTGCAGTATCATAAAATATATAATAATAATGTTTGTTGCGAAAAAACCCAGACAGAAGATTCTTTTTAGTTAAAATTTGAACGAGATTTTAAATAAATATGCTATTTAGGTGAAATGAATTTATTATTTTAATAATATGATTTGTTTTCATCGTTTATTGGCAATTTTTCTTAATTATATGCACTTACTTGGTCGGAATTCTTGTATTTTTTGTAAAAATTTATAAAAATATTGTATTTTGACAATTATATATTGTTAATATACCACGGTAAGGAGGGAGGCGTGAAATTCCTGGTTAAATGCACTTCCGCGGTGCTCTGTGACAAGACAGTTAGGTCTTCTTGGGGCACCTAAATAATACATATACAGTGGGTGCTCATATTATTAGAAACACGACCAAATTTTAAAAACTTTGTGAATAAAGTTCAAAATTAACAAAACATTTTTAACATAATAATTTTTTTAATTTTACAAATAGTATGTATGTACCTTTTACTTTAATCTGGGAGTTTGGCAACATTGCATTTCATCTCATTATGAAGTTATAGGGTTTTTTCCTGAATTTTGACAATTTTGGCAGTTATACCTGTGTTGTTGTCGCGTGAAGTGCTGTTTGTGTATTGCTCTCTTTTTAAAGTTTTCAAAGATTTTTTTATTGTTTTGTTATTAAGTTCTGTTTATGTGTCTATTTTTTACAGTTAAACATGATTAAATCAATATTTTTACATATAATTTGACTTCTATAACGGTTTACTAGAATCACGTGTTTTTTTCAAAATGGTAAAGGCAAAAGATGTTTCACCCTTAAAAAAAAGAGAAGTTGGAGCATTATTGAAGAATACTTCTTATTCTCAAAAGTGTATAGCATCAATGACAAAGGTTTCAGTGGCAACAGTCAACCGAATAAAAAAAAATCTGGACAAAAATGCTGATTATACTCCTCAACGAACAGGACATTGTAGTAGAAAACGGCTAACAAAGCCAAGAGACAATAGAAAAATACGAGATATTAGCCTAGAAAATAGGAATAAGCCTAGACGAATACTAACCACTTTAATACAAGATGCTGGAATACCAGTATCTCCAATGACAGTTTGTTGCCGACTCAAAGAACAAGGATTTTGATGCTGTCGACCTGCTAAAAAGCCTAAGCTCACTCTAGCAATGCAACAAAAACGCATTGCTTGGGCTAAAAGTTATCGGCATTTGACCGTCGATGACTGGAAAAATGTAAGTACTTCATTTATAATTGTACACATTCCATTTAGAGATTTGCCTACATTAAAACTTTGACTTATAAGTTTTTTTGATGTTGTTTAGGTATGTTTCTCGGATGAATCGACAATCCAGATTTTGATGAAAAAATCACAGTTTGTGCGTAGACAAGCTGGAGGAAAATACCACAAAGACTGCATCTTAGAACGTGTAAAGCATCCTCCAAGTATAATGGTATGGTCTGTCATTAGTGGATATGGAACAGGGCGCTTATATATCGTTGAGGGAACTATGCGCCAGGGCCAATACATAAAAGTTCTTGACACAAGAATGGTACCACAGTTGAAGGAATGGTTCCCAAAGAACCAAAAATTTACATTTATGCATGATTCTGCCCCATGCCATAAAGCAAAGAAGGTTACAGAGTACCTAAAAGCAAAGAAAATTCCAGTGCTACTATGGCCTGGAAACTCACCAGATTTAAACCCTATTGAAAATCTGTGGGAGATCATGAAAAGGGAAATTGCTTCTGAAATGATCACCAACAAAATACAATTAATTGAAAAGATGATCAAAGTCTGGCACAACAACATAGATATTTAAAATAATGCAATGAAATGCATAGAAAGTATGCCAAGACGTGTAGAAGCGGTAATAAGTGCCAAGGGAGGGATAACAAAATACTAAAATAAATCACCATTAT